TTCGACGCGGTGTACAACTCCTTCTTCCGCTGCTCGCGCCAACGCATCTCTCACCTCCCGAACTTCAACGCATGGTATCTTCCACTTGTTATTCACGTTTTATGTGTCTGGGGTTTAGGGTTTAGGGTTTAGGGTTCAGGGAGGAGTTCAGTCGTTCATGGGACAGGGGCTTAGGGTGTAAGGCCTCTGAGGTTCATGGGACAGGGGCTTACGATTTATGGCCTCTGAGGTTGAGGGTTCGATGCGGTGTACAACTCCTTCTTCCGCTGCGTTTTAGGGGTGAAGGATCCAGGGCTCACGTCGCTGACCTTCCTCCACACAGGGCGCTACGTGGGGGTCTTCCAGGGTCGCCCTTTGAGCCATTGGGTCGCCCTTGGAGCCGTTTTCTTCTCAAAATTGACTTTTGAATACCGTTTTCCCTCAAAAAAATGACTTGGAAATACCCCCCCTCCAGCCCTGCGTGGGACCGCAACGCTGGGTTTGGAGGGTTCAGGACTCAGGGTTTATGGTCTAGGGGCTCAGAGTTCTGGGTCGGCGACGCGTGGTGTGTTTCTGTCGAAGGTGGGCCCTCCCACACAGCGGACTTCGAAGGGGGTTTGAATAACCCCTGAGCGAAAAGACCTAGGACCCTACGGTAGGCAACCCGTAGGGACATAGGGGGGGTTCCTACGGATAAGGTAACGGATACTCGGCCCGATTTGGGCCGAAAATCGCTTCGTAGGCCGCTGTGTCGTAGGTCCAACCCTTGTCGCGTGCCGTGGAGGTTCAGGGTTCAGGTTGTAAGGTTCAGAGTTCAGGGGTTTAAGTTTTAGGTTTTGGGGCGTTGAGGTTTAGGGGTCCGTGTCGCGTGGAGCGGAGGGTTTAGGGTTTACGGGAGTAGGTTGCAGGGGGTAGGGGGTAGGGGGTAGGGGGTAGGGGGTAGGGGGTAGGGGGTAGGGGGTAGGGTGTAGGGTGTAGGGTGTGGGATGTAGGGTGTTGGGGGTTTATGGTCAAGGGGTTTAGAGGTGAGGGGTTTAAGGTTCAGGCCGTGGTCGACTAGGAAAACGACTACCTAGACGTTTACCTAGCTACTTAGTAGCGGCCGAGTTCTTTTTCCCCCGGATATCCGGGGGAAATGCCAGTTGGAATCCATAGCAACGGATAAGATTCCAGTACAATTCTTTAGATGGACTGTATCCGTGAAGTCCCCGGTGGCTGCCAAGTGGTCGAGTGAGGCTTTCTCAGAAGGGAGTAGATGGTGGCCATCCACACGAGGCTACCCATGCGAACAGAATAAAAGGGACTTTTAAAGTTTTGCGGGGACATGATCACGGATAAGGTAACCGACCGACCGCTCAGCGGGCGGAAACGTGATCATTTCTCCACAAAACTTTATAAGTCCCTTTTATTCTGTTCGCCTGGGTAGCCTCGTGTGGATGTCTCAGTTCGATCCGAATAAACGCGTTTCCTCTTTTCCCCGGTGGGCAGGCTGGGAGACATGCTGCGTGGACCTAGTCCACTGCCAGCCACAACATTTCGCCTAAGTCAACTGCCCATGAAAATCAGTTTCTTAAGTCAAATGCCTGCTCTGGGATTAGGTCCATCTAAACGAAACGGCAACTTACTGCCGAGGATCAGACAAGTTGACTTAAGGTAAAATATCCTGGCTAGCAGTGCAGTCGACCAAGGCCTCCTTAGAAGGGAATAGATTAGTGTGCGGGGCGACTCAATTTAAACCGCCTTTTATGCTATCTTAAGGGTGGTGACTCTCTTATTTTGCTAGATTAGCTTCGACACAGCTTTAATATATACGAAAACCCATCCCAAGATAGCAAAAACACGGTTTAAATTGAGTCGTCCCGCTCATGAAGATGGTGCCAAATGTTTCTGTCGATCCGCATGAACGTATGCCCTGTCTTTTTCCTTTTGTCAGGCTGAGAGACATGATGCGCGCGCGCGGGGTGCGGGAGACAGTCGACATCCCCGGGTACCGCGAGTCCTACTTCGGACAGGTGCACCCACTATTGGAGAAATTCCTAAGGCATAGTTAAATGGTGTTCGGCCTCGACGCCTCCACCGACGCCTCCACCGAGGTGGAACAACATTTAACTATGCCATAGTAATTTATCCTATATTTTTTCCTATGAAAGCAACTTTTTGGTTGGGACTCCTCTGAGCAGCGTCCACACAGTGGACTACGTTCCGCTGCTTACCACTTAGGTAAACAGCGGTCAGTCGACATCCCCGGGTACCGCGAGTCCTACTTCGGACAGGTGCTCCCACTGTGTTAGGGACACA